TGGCCTTTCAAACTGAATGTCCTGTACACATATCGGACTCAATACGTCCAACACAGAATTCATCATCTTTCACTCTAAACCCAGATCTTTTTCAAGCTTATCTATTTTTGTCAAAGGCACTTTTATCTTTCCACTTCACAACCTTGTTGTCTCCTCACTCTCTCTTCACCTCATATATCCAGTCACTCGCCAACTAGTGTCAATTCTACCCACACAACATTTCTTATCTACGCACTTCTTCCTAATCAAACCCACCACCCTAGTTTAGGCACTCATTACTTCTTGTCCAAACTACAGCAAGTAGCTCAATTAGGATTCTTGCCTTAAGTATTGTCTCTATAATACATACTCCCCACAGATGCTGAAATAATATTCCTAAAGCATGTATCTGACCATACTACTCCATGGCCCAGCTATATAAGCTCCCTATTATCTCTAGGGCCAAATTAGGGTATATGTGGTTTTTCCCTCCTTTCTCTCTAAAGAACTCTGGAATCAGTTGCGAGACATGAGAGACATTGGCACAGGACTGCCCAGCATGGCATGCCCACATCAAAGAAGATGCTGTGCTCTATGAGCAAAACAGAATTGCAGTAGATCAAAAGAAATGTGAGATGTGCAAATTTAGAAATATCTCCGCTCCAAATGTTTATGCGGACTATTTGTGCCCGAGCTTATATTGGTCTGATCAACCACAATTGGACATACTGCACTTTAACCCTAATGTAGTGATGGATGTCCTTTTGGTCTTCCTCAAGAATGAAGGACAATAACCAACCAACCAACCAACTAACCAGCTAGCCAACCAACTAACCAACCAACTAACCAACCAACCAACCAACCAACTAACCAACCAACCAACCAACCATCCAACTAACCAACTAGCCAACCAACTAGCCAACCAACTAACCAACTAGCCAACCAGGGCCAAATATAGATTTTTCTGTTTGGCATTTAAAACTCTTCATGAGCTGGCTCTCATGTAACTTTCCAAGATTACTGCATGTTATTCCCCTTCAGACGATCTACATTTTAGACAAACTGTCTTTTCTCATACACAAAATTCAGTCTCTATGAAATCTTTCTTGATTTCCCCAGAAACTTGTCTCCCTCACAAATTACCTTGTGTTAACTTTGAGTATACTTGTACATGTACATGTAGAATATAAGCTTCTTGAAGTTAGGGACTATTTCATTTTTGTCTAGTACATTGTTGTCATTGAGTCATTTCACTTCTGTTCGAGTCTTTGTGAAGTGGGGTTTCCTTGACAAAGACACTGAAGTGGTTTGCCATTTCCTTTTCCAGTCATTTTACAGATGAGGAAACTGAGGCAAAGCTTAAGTGACTTACCCAGGGTCACATAGCTAGTAAGTGTCTAAGGCCAGATTTGAACTCAGATCTTCCTAACTCCAAGACTAGGGCTCTATCTACTGTGCCACCTAGCTGCCCCCTTGTCTACTACATAGTAATGTTTAATAAAAGCCTAATTGATTAGGCACAGGTTAAGTGATTAATTGATCTGGCAATTTAGAAGCATACGTTGGGTTTCTCTCTATCTGTGATGCAGTGATTTGGTTTCCTGTTACTCTCCTCAAGAATCAACCACGGCTCCCCAGTATCTACCAAATCAGGGTTAAGTTACTCTGCCCACTTTTGATGGCCTCTTTGTGGTTCTGCTATCCAGCCTTCCTCTCTATGATCTCCCTCTCCCCCAAAATACAACAACACTCTGCTGCAATAGGCCCGAAGTCTACACTGTCTATCCCTCCCTCTTCTATAAGCTCATGCTCTTCTCTCCCAACTAAAATGCCTTTCTTATTCCCTTTATCTTTCCACAGCTACACCCCACAGCAAGTTACTTTGCCCTGATGAAATATTATTTACCGTGCTCTAGTTTGACACTCAATTCTTAAGGATCAGAATCAGGTCCTATTTCTTCATGAAGTACCTAGCACGACACAGAGCAGACAGTGGCTGGTCAGCAAGTGCTTCTTCACAGACTGGACTCATGTATTTTAGAAAAGTAAGGAAAGTTTATGACATTCTGCTGAAAGAAAGGTGCTCCCTATTTATGAATATTGCAGAATAACCATAGAAGTAAGGGGACCTCTGTTATTTCTAGGGTAGCTATCTTTCAGGCTCTAGGTCCTAAGTTACTACATGAAATAGGTGCTGGAACTGAGAGCCAGATCAATTTGGGAGCTAATTTGAGTCTTAAATATTTATATGAAGAGCAACACAACTAGCTATTCTTATCCCTGGGGTATGCTCCAAGAACTGAGCCCCTGAAAGGGGTCCAGAGCCAGAAGTTAGGTTCAGGGGGTATAGAGTCCGGAACAGGCCCCTTCCAACCTGCAACCTGACCTGTGTCTGTGGTCTGGGGACTGCCATCCTTTGATCCCCAGCTTCATCTCGGCACCACCCCTTTCTGGACGAATGAGTTTGTATAACTGTGATTATGCAACATATGACCAACCAAGAATTGCGCAAGGGAAGAAAGAGGCTTGTAAAGGATATCATCAGAGAGACGTGTGACCGGAAAGGGAGGTGGGCCGGTCCAGCATGTAGCAAGAGCGAGGGGTAACCGATGGGCAGCTCGTGTGCTCCGCCAATACCACCTACCCAATGTCAGGCAGTCTGGAGCAGCGGTTCTCAAATGTTTTGGTCTCAGGACCCCTTTACTCTCTCAAAAATTATTGCAGATTCCCCAAAGAGCTTTTATTTTGAGTTATATCTACCGATATTTACCGTATTAAAAATTAAAACACCTTAGTCCTGTTATGAAAATAGTTTTGACCTCATGAACCCCCTGAAATGGTCTCTGGGGGATACTGGACACCTTGAGAACCACTGATCTACATGGAGGCCCAGTACATTGGGTTGCACTGCTGTGGAGGGCATGGACAAGGTTTGCAAAGGAGAGAAAGGATGTAGTTAGGTCCTGAGCTGCATTAATGAAGGTAGAACCCACAGAGAAGGAATCATGATCCACTGAAATATCGGAGGACAGATCTAAGCAATGTGGACTAGTGGAGGCACCTCAGTTGACCTAGAACTTGGCATTACACTACATTTCAATAGTAACATTCCACAGCTAGGGCATAGCAGATAGAATGCTGAACGTGGGGTCAGGAAGACCCTAATTCAAGCTTCAGATGCTTACTATCTGTATGACTCCAGTCAAGTTGCTTAATCTCTGTCTGCCCCAGTTTCCTCATCTATAAAATGGGGATAACAATAGAATTTATCTCCCAGGTTATTTTGAGCATCAAGTGAGATAATACTTGTAAAATGCTTTGCAAACCTTAAAGTGCTATATAAAAGCTAGCTCTTATTAAACATATTGAGCCTCAGTTTCCTCAGCTGTAAAAGGAGGGGGTTGAATCAGGTGACTTTTTTTTCTGCTGGTTTTTTTAAAATAATGCTAAATGTCTAGATGGAATGAATGAAAAACCAAAATAACAGCTGAAGCAATCCCCAGCTTACAAACACTAAGACACCACCCACACATAGAAAAGGCACTGAAAGCAAACCAGCTTAGTGAACATGAGGTTTCGAAAGCAGATGAGAAGTTGCTGTGAAAGGCAGGAACAACTCACAGAACTCGAGCTAGAAGAACTCTCAGAGGCCACTGAGCCCAACCCCTTCCATTGAAAGGAGGCCTCTTTCTTTCCTTGAGCAATTCTTGGTTGGTCATATGTTACATAATCACAGTTATACAAACTCATTTGTCCAGAAAGGGGTGGTACAGAGATGAAGCTGGGGATCAAAAGATGGCAGTCCCCAGACCACAGACACAGGTCAGGTTGCAGGTTGGAAGGGGCCTGTTCTGGATTCTCTACTCCCTGAACCTAACTTCTGGCTCTGGACCCTTTTAGGGGCTCAGTTCTTGGAGCATACCCCAGGGATAAGAATAGCTAGTTGTGTTGCTCTTCACATAAATATTTAAGACTCAAATTAGCTCTCAAGTTGGGGCTCAATATCCTCACATGAAAAATGAGGGGGCTAGAAGAGATGATTGCTATGCCATTCCTACGAACCTGGGACTTCCTTCCTTCATCAAGCTTTTTCCCCCACATAGCAAAACTCTGAGTTTTACCTGTGATTCTTCTTCCTTTGAAGATACTGGTGAGCAGTGAATAGGAACAACGACAGTTTTGGAAGAACCACAAAGTAGATTTTAAATTTCAAATGAGGGAATGTTATAGAAGCTGTATGATGCAGGTGCCCCCTCATTTAGGGAGCAAAAAAAAACACAGAGTAAGAAAGTAAGCAATGTGAGTTCAACTTGTTTGCGTGTGACTTTTACGGGGTTATTGACATTTTCCAGAACAGACCCTATATCAATAACCCACCCAGCTGGGTTGCTCTGATGGCCTCATTTGCATTGGAACCAAGAGAACATAGCTCATCTCAAACCTAAGAGTGAACTGAGCATGATGTATATGAATTTCTTCTTTATAAACTTTATTGTTACTATTACTGTGATTATTATTAGTCTAGACCTGTTATTTCACTGGTATATTTAACTCCAGTGAAGAAACTCCTTCCACCAATGTAAATCAGCAACTACTCTGCAACATAGAGTCTTAGAGAGTTGTTTAACCCTAAGAGGTTAAGGGATCTGCCCACATCACACAGCTGGTAGGTGTCAGAGATGGAACTGGAACCCAGGACTTCCTGATTTTGAGGGTAGCGCTCTACTACGGTATGTTCTCTCTCTTCTTTACAGACTTCAAAAACTTTGTATTTTTTTTTAATGACTAAGTTGCTAGCCTTTGAAAGAAATCAGAGCATTCAACTAGGGGTGTGCTACTGCCAGCTCCAGTTAGGTTTCAAGAACTGATTGTTAAATTTATATGCTCATAAGTATCTTGGAAATTGCCGACATCACAAATTGGGACTTGATTTACAGTTTTGTTGATTGTCTAGACTTAAGAAAATGTTAATAATGCAGATTAAAAGTGTGCCACAGGTCTTTTTTTCTTTTTTCTTTCAGAGAACCATTTGTTAAACATTTACCAGTATACCCCTGGATTCAGCCATTGGAGTTCTTCCTACTTTCCAATGGAATTCAATTTTTAGAAACGTGTGAGGGTTTACTACAGAAGACTTTGTGTATCATCATCAAAGAAAAGCATGAACATCAGCAATAAACCGTAATGGTGTTAGTATTGTTATAGTCAGCTGTTTGCACTGGCTGAGCATTCAAAGTGGGCCCATGTTGTTTATCTTGCTCTTACCAGGCTGACAGGCCTGCCTACCTGAGTGTATGTGTAATGAAGTCAAGGTGGTTAAGAATGCTTTGCAGTTTCCTCATTCAAGGTCCCTTTCTGATTTTTTTGTATATAAAAAAATAGATTATATTACATGTTATATACAATAATTGTATATTTATATCATAATAAAATATATTATAATAATATGTAACATAATAACAGTATGTTATAAATATATTGTTATTCATTTTGTGATCTAACACAGGGGGTCTCACTGTTACAAGACTTGTTGTTTAGTTGTCTGCGACTCTTCGTGACCCCCTTTGGAGTTTTAATGGCAATACTGGAGTAGTGTGCCATTTCCTTCTCCTGCTCATTTGACAGATGAGGAAACTGAGGCAATCAGGGTTAAGTGACTTGTCCAGGGTCACACAGCTAGTAAGTGTTTGAGACCAGATTTGAACTTAGGTCTGACTCCAGGCCTGGCACTTTATCCACTGTGCCACCTAGCTGTCCAATTAATAACTATATCTATATCATATGTATGTATATATATATAAATATATGTATATGAATAGCTCATGTTTATGCAGCAATTTAAGATTTGCAAGATATCTTTTTCCTTACAACAGTCCTGTGAGATAGTCAGTGCAAACAGGTATTACACCCATTTTATAGATGAGGAAAAGGAGGCTTACAGATTAGTTAAATGACTTACTTATGACCTCATATGAATGTTGTGTGGGAACTGTGTTCAAACTCTAACTTCTAAATGCAAATCTATCACTCTTTTCACTATATCCACTTCCTTGCATAATAGTTCACGTTTATAAATCTATTTAAGGTTTGAAAAATATTTTCATCACAATGACCTTGTCAAGTAAGTAATGTGACTAGTGGCAGCCCTTTGACAGATAAGGAAACTGAGGCTCAGAGATGGTGAATATTGTGCCCATGGTCACACAGCTACTAAACTTTGGTGCTGGGACTGCAACTCATATAATATCTAACTCCAAGCCATATATGTATTCCATTATTGTGCTGTCTGATCCACATTAAAATACTCCTCTGCCCACTGAGGCTGTAGTTGGCGTAGATCGCCATTGTTTTATCCAGACGGGGCTGGAAATAAACCCTATTTCATTCATGCAATAGCTGGTAAGCAGTTATCTTCCATTTTACTCTTTTTCCTCCCAACCTATGCTGATGTTATATTGTTATACTCTGTGGATAAAAAGGCTGTTATGCCTTTCTTATGTGTATTATTCTGGAAATGGGGTTTAAAAGTAACTATGATAAGTAGGTCTTCAATGTAACAGTAAATTAGAGGTTCTTGCAAATGATTAGCGAATTTACATCAACTAGGAAGCAAACTAACATTTTGAATCAACAACTCTTAATGCTCTTAAAAATAGGCTCACAACATAGCTATTTTTGGCTGGTATTTTCTTAATAGGCCCTTTAATTTCAAGGTGTCAACAATATTACCTCTTTCAATCTCTGATAAATCACTTTTCCATTCTTAATTTACCTGTCTATGTTCATCTATGGCACCCTATAAACACTCCTGTTTCCTGGGGCTCTAGGAAGGAAGATGCTTATGATGCTGTAATTAGGCCCATAACATGCATGTCACATTCCATAAGCTGTTTCCCAGCCTTAAGGCCTCTTGGTCTAAGCTGACTATTATTCTCTACCTCCTGCCATCTGGCCAGAGTATTCTGGCTGCCTCTGTTATGATTATGATCAAAGTATGTTTCACAGGAATAGACTGGATGGTGGGTTATGCCTAAACAGAGAATGACTTTGGGAAAAGAGAAGGAAGAATTCATCAGGTCAGTTCCTTGGATGGGAATTTTAATTACCCTCTAAAATTTCTATTTCTATCCTGTTACCTCAGAAAGAAAAGAGTCATCAGGTCAGCTCATTGAAGGGGAGTTTTTTTATCATTATCCTCTGGAGCCTCAGTCTCCTCCCCATTGTTCATGCATTATAGTGTCAATATACATTAATTCATTCAATAAAAACATGGCTAAAGAGTTTTGAATGGAGCACATTTTACTTAATCAAATCACCTTTTATGAAACACTAGGGAAGTCTGCTATTTATAAGATCTCTGCAGAATATCTTTTGTTAAACTAAAGATTCCTTTTGAAATGTGAGTAATCATCTAATTGATTTGTTATTAGAGGCAATATGTAAGTATAATGGATAGAGGGCCAGTGTTGGAGTCAAATAGACTTTTGTTCAAACTCTGACACATACTGACTTTGGACAAGTTGAGTAACCTTAGAGACTAAAGCCCTTTCTTTTTCTAACACTTTATGGTATAAACATGCTCTAGAATAGTGGAAGAAGTTCTGAAATCACAGGTCACAACCTCAAACTCAAATGTTGTTATAAAATTAAAATTTGATGGGGATGGAGTAGAATGCCTATATTAGAAATAAGTCTAGGGAGCAGGACATAGTCATATCATACCCCAGATAACTATAAACTCCAGATTCCCAAAGCTGTACATCTCCTCAAGTCCAGCGGGCACAGAGGCCCTATCAGATAAAATGGGGTGGAGGTGGGGAAGAGGGTGGATACCTCCTTTAAGAAGCACTTAAAGGTTGCTTCAGCAATAATTTTATCTAAGATTGAAATGGATATTCTTTTTGTCTAGATTTGACACTGCCTAGCTGTGTGCCCTCTCTATAAAGACATCTTGTCCCTGGCTGAGCTTATGTGAAATTAGGACCTTTCCTTTTGGAGAGGATAGCCTAAAATGGTAAATTGTATGGCAGATGAGGTACTTCTATATGATGTACCTCAATCAGCACACATTTAATAAAACAAAAATGAAATGGCATCTGCCCTCAAGGCGCTTACATTCTAAGCAGTAATTTCCCCCAACTAAAAAGCCAGGCTGGAGAAGCAATTTTATACTTTTTTTTTTGGTGTCACAGATTCTATTGGCTAGTGAAGTGTATACACCTTTTCTCAGAATAACATTGTAAAATAATTGGAAAAAATGCTAAATTTCAGTTAGAGGTTAGTGAAAACAAGAAAAAAATTCTCATCCAAGTTCACAGACCTCTTGAAATCTATCCACTTGCTGCTACTTTTTTTTTTTTTATCAGCAAGCACTTTAAAAATAATCCCGTAACCCTGAACCTCCTCGGGATCATGGGATTTAGAGGTGGTTGGAACTTTAGAGCTCCTCTAAGTCACAGGATCATAGATTTAGAGATGGAAAGGACAAGCTCAAAAGTCATCTAGTCCAGATTTCTCACTTTACATATGAGGACACCAAGGCCCTGAGGAGTGAAGGAATTTGCCTCCAAACCACACAGGTGGTATGTAGCAGAGCCTTTGAACTTGGGTCTTATAATTCCAAATCCAGGGCTCTTTTCATACTACATAGAAAGGCCAGACATACACACCCCTGTACACCCTTTTCCCTGCCCACATCCTCATTTTACAGCAGAGGAAACTGAAGCCCAGAAAAGCGATGGAATTTGTTCCAAAGTGGCAGAGCTGGGGTTCAAACCCAAGACATCTGATGCTAAAATCAGAATGTTCCTTTCCCCGGATCTTGCTACCTCATTACTCTTCTCTGTGGAAAAAGCTCACCCTCCCATCTTCCCTTATCAGCCCTCCCCTGGTCCCACAAGGGCTAAGAGAAGCACATCTCTACCCTTGGGAGCCCAGTTTATTTATTTTTTTTTCTTAAGCTCTTATGGTTATGCGCATGATTAGTAGGTCTGAAAAGGTGGCTATGAACTGGGGAACGTTTCTTACAGTCACTTCTCACAGCATAAGGAGCCAGTCGGCTGGGGGAGTACTCTTCTTCTGGCCCTCCGGGATGCTTCTTACCAGCAGGCAGCGGGAAGGCGGACACAGTGTGGAGCAGTACCAGGCAGACAGCCACAATATCCCATAACTTCATCTTAGATTCCCGTCCAGCGGCGGCTCCTGGGAAGTGGGGGGTGAGATAGGGTCGGGAGAGAGAGAGAAAGGGAGATAGGTTAACTTTTCAGTGGTGTGGACAGCCAGAGTCCCCTCTCCCTCCCATTGCAAAGCCAGCTCCCCGACTCCCAACTTTCACATTCATGCCAGTTGATGTACCTTCATACCCCCAGGTGATTGCTTCCTTAAAGAAACTCCCTCACATATTATTATTACTATTCCCTTTGGGAGCAAACTTTCCAGTTCGGAATCTTTCCTATTACAACTTGGTAATATGGAATGCTGGGGCTTGAAGAAGAAGGCTAGGGCTTCCGTCCCTTTCAGTCTCCCTAGATGACACCCTCCAACCCTCGTTGCAGAGTCCCTAACTCCTGCAAGCCGTGCCTTCTTCCTCTCATGTTTTCATGGGGACCCGGGCAGCCAGCGCAGATCTCTTTTGAAGTCCAGTGCCCCCCTTTTCTCCGGATCGACCCCACCTCTGGGGTGGGGGAGCCTTGGAGCTGGGTAGCTGCTCCTGCCCTGCCCCACATCTGCTGCACAGGCTTCAGACTCGGAATCCAAGCTTCTTCCTCACCCCACCCCATCCTGCAATTCAGCTTTAACACCTTCCATCCCCTCCCCCCCGCCCCAGCCCCCCAAAGGCAGCTTGGAGAAACCAACCTTCCTAGAGAAACTCCCTTCCTCAATGGGGAGCCCCGCCGTGGAAGCCGTTCTTTCTCCCCATCTCGGGGCTCACCCATGTTAATAGGTGCAAGAACTAGAATAAAATTTCTTCCAGGGGTTTCCTGATCCATCACTCGCAATAAGGAGCTACAGCCGGTTTCGCTTCATGCACTTGCATCTTTGTCTATTGGCGGCTTGTTTTTTTTTTCTTTCACTAACCCAGCACCAAAGGGAAAAAATAAAACCAAAAACAAACCAACAAACTTTTATTGGGGACAGAAACGGAAAGTTAGTAGGCATCTGGCAGCTTTAATACAGTTTAAGTGTGAGGCAGCGATGGCACTTGTCTTAACATTTGATCAGCGACAGCACTCTTGAAATCTTCCCCCCGCCCCATTAGCTCCCCCCACCTCTACCAGGAATTTCTCCCTACGTCCTCTTCCTTTCCAGGGAGACCAGACCCAGTGAAGTCTCCCGCGCTCTCTCACATCCAGCCCCAGCCAAGTCTCTCAAGGCACAAAGCATTGCAATTTGCTCACAGCTCCAGGGGAGGGATCGCCCGGGATGCGCGACTGGGAGCAAGCTGAAAAAGACGTGCTCGCGGCGCCTCCGGGGCGTTGCTCGCTCTCGGAAGGGGACCTGGGCACTGGGAGGCCTGGGCTGGCGCTTCATGTCGAGCTCTGGCTCCAGCTTGGGGCGGGGTGGGGGGTTAGGGCAGGAGGAGCGTGATACAATAAACATGAGCCTCCCTCAGCCAGGGGGCACCATTTGGACTTTTCACACTCCCTCCTCCCCCCACCTCCAAAAAAGAAAAAAAAATAAAGGCATAGGCAAGGCGGGAAGAAAAATGTGCCGTCCAACTTCTGTTACTCGAAAAACTTTACTTTTCACTAGCTCCCGAACCTCGAAAACTTGGGCTGAATTGAAGGAAGGGAAAAACACGTGGGGTGTGTGTGTGTGTGTATTCGAGTTCCAGGGGCCAGACAACTCTATGGACCAACTCAGTCAAGGTCTTTAAAAGACGCCCACTGACCCCAGCTTTCCAAAGTTACTTTCCCTTCCCAACTCTGCTGGCTTTGGGTGACGGACCCTGCTGCTGAAACTCCACGTGGTTAATGTCACAGCTCTGCCCTTCTTCCCTATTAAATAAAACATACCCGTCGGAAAAGGACAAGTTTGCCCCCTCCCCCTCCCACTGGAAAGGGAAAAGAGAAGGGATGGAGCCACGGGAAAGAGGTGTCAGGAGAATTTTCAGCAAAAAAGTCGGTGGGCTGCTTTGGGCCAGTGTTATCTAGACAACATCTTTTCTGTCCCCTCCCCTTCTGGTTCCCAGGCACTCCAGACTTTCCTGCCTCCTCACCCACAGCCCCAGTGCCAGTCCAGGCCCAACTAGAGAAGCATTTAATTGGGCAGCCACCTCCCACGGTGCCCGCTGCCCGCCCTGGAGCTAGCTCAGCGGAGATGGATGAGTTTTCCATTCTCCTGGCATTTGTTTGCTCGCTAAGCAGCTGTTTGGCCGCACTAGCAAGGAGGAAAAAGAAACTCCGAGAGATCCGCAGCTCCGGCCTCCCAAGCCCGGGCTTGTTTGCTGGGAGGCCTCGGAGGTGGGAGAGGCTGCGCTGGACGACCCCCGGAGGAGGGGGGAGAAAGGTCGTGGTTCCAACGCCTTCTACTCCAAATAAACATAACGACACCGAACCCATGCAAACGGGGGAGAGGGGAGATTAGGGAGCAGGACTTTTGGAAGCGTAAAGGGCCTTCTCTCTTCCTCCATCCTGCTTACAAGCCTGCATCCTCCAAAAAGCTCGCAGCACGAGGTTAATGCACCGTTCAAAATCCAGGTGCCCGCCCGCATTCCCTTCCAGCCCACCAAAAGGAAGAGAAGGAGCCAGCAGATTTCCCTTCCGTATTAAAAGGGCTTTCCCCTGTTTTCCCCCTGCTGTGGGTGGGAGATTTCAAAAATTGGACGAGGAGTTTCTCAATTAGGAGTGTGGCGAAGCTGGCAAAGAAGGGAAATGGAAAAATCTACGCCCCGCCAAAGAGGAGGCTCCCCATCCTGGTTGTCTTCCCGCTCTCGGCCTGGCTCTTTCCTGTCCCCGAAACAGGCCCCCTGGGCTGGGGAAAGCGCATTCTTCTCTCCCGAGAAAGCCCTCACTGAAGGCTCTTTGAGCTAGAAGCTTATTCAGTTCTCATTTCTGCTCTGGGGAGGAACCTAATGCAGGCTCCTCATATGTAAACCGCCTGGCTCCAGAGGGGTGCAAAAGGTAGACCAGCTTTGTCTGGACTTGATTCTCAAAGGCTTAGGTCTGTTTTTCTATTTAGCGCCCCGGGTTTTGTCACTCTTTCCTTTTCTTGCTCTTCTCTCTACTTTTCTTTCTTCACGCTCTTAACGTTTGTTTGCCCCCAAACAAATGTGCCTCTTGCTTCTTTATCTATTTCTTTTCAGAGTAGTCTGATTAACAGCAAACCAAGAATAACAGCGTCTTGCATTTGCATAGGAGCCTTATGGCAGTCGCCAGAGTGTTTTCATACAGATAGTTTTTTTAAACTATCCGCACAAAGAAAGTAAGTGACAAAGTCAGAGTTGTAAATTATTAGAGCAATAAAGGAACGTTAGAGATTAAGCAATCCAAAACCCCCTCATCTTCTGAATAAGGGCTCAGACTAATTGATCCTGGACAAGTCACTTAACCTCAGCAATAAAACGAGGATAATAGTAACACCTCCTTAGAAAGGTTGTTGGTGAAAATACAATGTGATAACATGTAAAGTGTTTTCCAAACCTAAAAGAATACAGCGTTGTAACATAGTGCTTAATGCTGATGATGATAACAATATAATAATATCAACTGAGGACTGGAGACACCAGAGGTCAACTGGGACAAGAAACCAGATTTCCTGATCTGGTGTTTTTGGCTAAGTAGAGAAAAGAACTACCTTATAGACAGGAAGGTAAGTGCCCTGGTGGCTCTCAACAATTAGATCTGAGGTAGACAGAATAGTACAGATCCTAGAGAGGAGTCAGATCAATAGTGTTGGAAAAGAGGGTCGCTACAATACAAGCCCTCTTTCCTCCCTACCGAGTGTTTGAATAACTTTTCCTCATTTTGGACACTAGGGGGCACTAAAAACCACCATAGTAGGTCCACCTTACTACATAGCTGGGAAGTTTGGTCATTTGTCATCTTTAAGTGTAACAGAAGGGGGGGAGGGAATTGCTCGCCTTAAAACATTATGGAGTTATGCCTAGAACTATTTGGTATTCCTACCTAACACTATCCTTGTTCTTCATTTTCTTCCCCAATCTACCTCCCCTCTAACCTGGACTAATTTTTTGACAACTTTTCTTTGGAAATCGAAATCTGTCCTCACTCTTCACCTAAGAAAACCTAGTGAAGGAGATAGTTTCACACCTAGATGAACACCTCTACCAACAGAATCCCTTCCTCATTCTTAATTCTGAAGTCTGAGAATGTTCTATTTGGGCTTCAGTTTCAAGATTGACACAAGAAATGAAAAAGTGGGATATGGGATTTGAGAAGAAGATAGATATGTCAGCTTTAAACCAATCTCTGGGGAAGAGGACTAGAAAGGAGCAAAGAAAATATTCATATATAAGACACTTTAACCTCATCAACGGGCCTTTAATTAGCATACTTTGAGAAGTGTTATGTGGGGAAGTAAAGAAGAAGAGATGAAGAAAGAAGTAGCTAACTGCTATGTACTGGGTGATCTAGGGCAAGTCACTTAACATCTCTGGCCTCTGAGGTAACTTCTAACCCTAAATTTACAATCCTGTAAATCTTTTGTTTTAAACTCATGAATTTCCATCCAGTGAATATTTCACTATGCTCTTAAGAGCTGAGCAGGTTGGTTTTCATCTCATGCTTTTGGGGGTCACCAGTTTAGTTTCTTGCTGGGTTATGGTTGCACTATCCCAGGAGACAGGGTGGACAGTGTCTATGAAAAATGTGAAAGAAAACAGAAAGTCCAAAGCAGGCTAGAGCAGTGATGTGTTAAGGGACTACAAGTCTGTCCTGTATTGGATAGGTTGGTGGGAGTCCTGCTCTCCCACAGAGATTGTTTAGTCTCACTCTGCAGTTTTCCCTCACTTGACACTTGTTACAGTGACAGCCTTAACCCCTGCCCTCAGAAAGTGGAGGCACAGCTGATCAGGGCCTAGGCATAGTGGCTGAAGTTGGGAATATTTAGCTAGAACCTAAGCATCTACTATTTTGTGGGATTTGCTAGTCCCATCAAAATGGCACCAAGCAAACAACATTTTAGGAAGAAACAAAGGCATCTTGTGTGTGTGTGTGTGTGTGTGTGTGTGTGTGTGTGTGTGTATGGGCGGATGGGGAATTAATTTCCTTGGTCTCCTCGGCTTGGAATTTCTTTGTAGGGAGACTTGAAGCCAAGAGTAGAGGAAAAAGTAGATTCATCCTTTTGAATGAAGGCATATCCACAAGAGAAACTTGAACATGGGGTAGTTATTCTGGAGACCCCACTTGTGAAAGGGGGGTTATTACAGGTGCTTCATTTAAAAGTCCAAAAGCAAAGCAAAGCATTCATGAAAAGATTCATGCCATAGCTGGAATTTTAGTTTTTATTTATTTCAACTCATCCTACAGCTCAAGTCTGGGCACACTGACATCACTGGAAGCCAGATGCATACAAGATATATACAATGGCTGTTGGTCAGTCTTTTGGACCCGGGGCATATCTAGCATGTGCTATGCCTACCTTAGGTTTAATTTTGACAGCGTGTGTCTGCAGAAAAGGAAAATAGCTGCAGAATATCTCCTCTTCCAAGCCAATTTTCACTGGAGGGAGTGGATAGGGGAGAGGCTTTGAGAAAAGTCAATGGGAAAATTATGCCACTTGGCAGAGTCTTGGAAAGTCCTGAAGGACCAGAGTGCGAAGGTGAACACCCATACAGATGTATATGCTCGGGAAAGGGACAGTCATCTTTCCACAATCTCCTGGATGGGTAGGACAGCAATTGATAATATGGACTAAACCTATTTTGAAGAGCTTAACAATTCAAGTTGCTTTAAAAAGTAACCATGGGAGTTTCCTTTACTTTTCACTTTTACCCACCTTTGCCACACGCTCCCGGTATCTGCATTTCTTTTTAATCCAGAGAAGACTAAAGCAAGCTCACAAATAATAGCTTCCCTCCAGCATTACGGCAGACACCGGTAGAGAGGACAGCCTGAGCACTTTAAGTTGTGGGGAAGACGACTACTTCACTTTCCCTTGCACCCTATTTCAGGACAGAAAAGATCATGTGGCACGGCCTTGACTCCACAGAGGGGCATCCTGGAGTCTGGAGGGTGGGGGGAGAATTGGAGGGGTTGCACTTAAGGACAAGACAACCTTCCCCC